CTAGCCAAGCTAGGTGTTTTCGGTAAATTACTTAAATTCGTCAAGTAGTGTGGCTATTTATTAATTGGCTATACTAATCAAGTTGTTATTTGGCTATTAAGAATGACGCCTCGTAGAGCCCCACCCGCAGAGCGGGATCAGTCAGTAGTCGCAGCCCAGTTCCGGACTTACGCCCCTCCGGTCTTCACTGGAGAGGAGGGCCCGTTGGCCGTAGGAGACTGGATCCGCAAGATGGATCGTATTTTCCGAATGATGGGCATATCCGACCAGCACATAGTCTCTTGTGCCGAGTTTTAGATAGAGGGTGCGGCCGGAGACTGGTGGGACGATTACTGGCGTCTCAGGACAGCTGATGAGCGAGACCAGCTGACTTGGGATCAGCTTACGGGCATTTTGGAGGCCAAGTACTACCCTCGCCACTTTCGCGAGAGGATGGAGCGAGAGTTCTATGACTTGCTTCAGGGAGACCGCTCGGTTGAGGAGTACGAGCGGGAGTTCGCTCGTAAGAGCACCTTTGCACGCCATCTTGTGGACACCGACGACAAGAAGGCCTCGCGTTTCCGCAACGGCCTGACCAGAGACCTTCGAGTGCTTGTAGCCAGCCATGGCTATTTGACTTATGCTGAGACCGTTGAGCGAGCCCAGCAGATTGAGGCATCCCAACTGCTAGACACTCCTGCACAGCCACTAGCTCAGGTGGCCCCACTAGCCAGACAGCCAGCTGCCATCCAGCCAGCCCTGCCAGCGCCACCTCAGCAGGCGCAGCACCGAAACAAGAGGAAGATGAGAGGTCGCGACGATAGGAGGAACCGTCGACCAGGAGCCCCAGCTCAGGCAGCACCACCGGTCCCGCAGCCCCCAGCTATTTGCGCTACTTGTCAGCGCGTCCACCGGGGAGAGTGCCTGGCTGGGCAGGACATTTGCTATCGTTGCCGCAGGCCCGGTCATAGGATCGCAGACTGCCCAGATCGCCCACAGCCCCAGCAGGGCCAGAGACCTCCAGCTCAGAGACAGCCAGCTCCGAGACAGCCAGTTCAGCACCCACCTCGAGGTGCACCTGCCCGTATTTACGCACTTGACCAGGAGCAGGCCGCCGAGCAGCCAGGTACCATGTCTGGCATGCTCTCTTTACTCGATGTACCTGTCTTTGCTTTGTTCGATACCGGGGCGACACATTCGTTCGTCTCGACCAAGTGTCTAGAGGCCATAGGGGTTCAGGGTGTGAGTGACGTCGACCCCCTCGAGATCAGCCTAGCTTCAGGGAGGAAGATAGTCACGAGTTCCCTGGCCAAGAACCTTAGCATGTGTATTGGAGGCAGAACTCTAGAGGTAGACGCGTTCGTGATCGAGATGACGGACTTCGACCTTATTCTCGGCATGGATTGGTTGGAGAGATATCACGCAGACATCCAATGCCGTGATAGAGAGGTGACGTTGCACTTAGCCGATGGAGACCACATCACATTCTTCGGGACAAGGACGAGGACTTTACCGCGTATCATTTCCATGGCGAAGGCGTCTAAGTGCCTACGGAGGGAGGATTGTCAGGGCTACCTAGTCACTATACTCGGGGAACCTTCGGAGGAGCGCATGCCCGAAGATGTAACCATAGTGAGAGATTTCGTGGACGTCTTTCCGGATCAGCTACCGGGAGGACCACCTAGTCGTCAGGTGGAGTTCACGATCGACCTATTTCCTGGAGCTGGGCCAGTGTCGAAAGCGCCGTATCGTATGGCGCCGAAGGAGCTTCAGGAGTTGAAGGCTCAGATTCAGGAGTTGTTGGGTCTCGGCTTCATCCGGCCGAGCGTTTCACCTTGGGGAGCACCTGTCCTCTTTGTGAAGAAGAAGGACGGGACACTGCGCATGTGCATCGACTACCGGGACTTGAACCGGTTGACGGTGAAGAACAAGTATCCACTCCCCAGGATAGAGGACTTATTCGATCAGCTGAGAGGTGCCCGTGTGTTTTCCCCGATAGATCTTCGTTCGGGTTACCATCAGTTGAGGATTCGGGAGTCTGACGTGGCGAAGACCGCGTTTCGTACCCGATACGGTCACTATGAGTTTGTCGTGATGCCGTTCGGCTTGACCAATGCGCCGGCGGTATTCATGGATCTCATGAACTGTGTCTCCCACCCATTCTTGGACCAGTTTGTCATCGTCTTCATAGATGACATTTTGGTCTACTCGAGGAGCACAGCCCAGCATGAGGAGCATTTGAGGATCGTGTTGGAGACTCTTAGGCGGGAGAAGCTGTACGCCAAGTTCTCGAAGTGCGAGTTTTGGCTTGATCGAGTGGCATTCCTCGGTCACATTGTTACGTCCGAGGGCATTGAGGTCGATCCCGGGAAGATCGA